GTCTTCACGGCAGGAGATCCCTGGTTCGAACCCCGGTTGGGACAATTTTTTTGCACTCGCAGATTTCTCTACTTTACCGTCTAAATAGACAAATTAAAATTAAAGTTATATGACCGAAACTATTTGTTTTTCTTCTCTTTTGTGGGGATAACCCACCTTTATTTTCCATTGTCTCTTTTTTTCAATAATTTTCTGTTATATACTTATCTATATTCCCTTAAGTGAATAATATGAAACTCATTGAGTATCCTCATATTTACGAAAGTTACATTTTTCATTTTTTCGGCCCTTTGAAAGTTTCACAATGCACAAATCTTTAAGCAGAATTCGCTCACTCAATCATGATACAAGTTATGAATACCATCTATTTGCAATTACATTTTTTGTTTTGTTTTGTTTTGTTATTTTGATTTGTTTTGTTTTTTTAACATAAAATCTGTCCATAAAGTACTGACGTTTAATCTGTATTAACTTTTATGGACATACTCCATCATGAATTATATACGTCACAATAGGTAGGCCCTATTATTTACAATTTTTTAAAATTTCTGTTTAAATAAAATTACGTCCCTTGTGTTCATGCTTCCAAAAGAATTTCTTATGAACGGACGTTAAAACTATGGTATCTTGAGTACATGTCACCTTGTGTCAAATCATACGTACACTCCATCGTGAATTATGAAATACGTCACATCATATTTTTCTGATATATGCATTTTTTCCCTTGTGTGTAAGCATCCCAGCTTCATTTCTAATAGGTAAATCAATAATATAATATAACGAAACGTTTTCGAATCAGAGGCTGATGAAACCAGCATTACGCCAACAATCAAACAAATGAAAAACAGTAAATCAAATATGGTTACATTACATTATAAATAGCTTTAACAACATTATTTAACTGTAATAATTTCAATCGTATTTTTTTATGTTTTATATTTTAATTGAAGTAATTTAATTAAGTAACTCAGACCATTACACAGAAGATATAACCCATAACTTGTCATTAAAAAAATCAATCAATTATACATCAAAAACGTTCGATTTTTTTATTCTATCAGTTATGTCCGGTAAATGATAATATTCATATTATACGGTATTTATTTTTCATGTTTTCCTTTTTGTTCTAAGATAAAGTCAATTAAATACAATAAGGGACACATGAGTGTAAATTAAACAAAAAAAAATAATGTGTACGTGATGTATCATGGTTTTGGATACCCTATACATGCACACAACAATACCCATTATAACTAACTTGAGGATAGTATTCTGCACTTTTTTCCATATTCTTTTACCCCTTACATTATTTATAAAAAATTCACATTTTATTCTTAATAATACAGAGTATTTAAAGGAGATCCAGAAACATTTAGTATGTGCTTTGTTCAGAGAATATAAAATCCTATTTTTGTAGATTGTGTATGCAGCTGAAGAGTAAATACAGTCGGATACTACAACTCCTGATCCAAGCACAAGTTTTTTGAAAGATACAAACTACTTGTTACCTGTTTGTATTAATTTTCAAGTAAAAATTGAGGCAAATTTTTACCTGTTTTTAAATACAATATATATA